GAATACTTCCGAGGTTTCCGTGATTTTTAGTGTCGTCTTAAAAGTAAAAGCTCGCTTATATAGTTGAAATTGATTTACAAAAATTAATAACAATGAATATTAATTAATAAAGGTAATTTCGAAGATTTTTTGTTTTTATTGAGACATGACATTTGCAAAACCTAAATAATAGGTATAATTATAAGAATAGTTGGATTCAAAAGATTTTTCTTTTGTGTTTACCAATATTGTCTGAAATAATGAAAAAAATTAAATATTGTCTGGGCCAAATGATATGATTGTGGGCTCGTATATAATAAATTCAGTGGCTGTGCTTTTGTTTAACGTCACCAAATAAGTTGTTATCCTTTAAGGGGATGATAGTACAAGCCAAAATAAGAAAGTTTTTCCTCTATCATTCTTGCATTAGTGCCATTTTTTTTAATAAAAAAATCATTAAAATTTTTATAAGTAGAAATTTTGGGCAATAATCTACATTCATTAAAAATTTCCATTTGATAATACATTGATTACTTTGTTAACAACTGTTTTTGTTTTGCATACTCACATATTTTTAGGTAAATTGAATAAAACAATACTTACTTTTTATTGTTAGGTATCTTGAGGTTTCCGTGGTTTCCGCGTCGATCTTAAATTTCACCTTTCACTTTTTACGTCGATTGATGCTCATGTAGGTAATTTTTTAAGTGTTCAACAAAATCATAATAAATGTTTAACTATCCCGCCGTTATTATCCACACAAAGTTGACAGCGGCGTAGAAAATCATTATGTGTCGCTCTTGCTATCATATCCGGATGACTTCGGATTTCATCTGCAGCTGCAGTGACAACTTTGCGGAGTTGTTCTAATGTGTCAACTTGCTCTGATACGAACTGTCAGTAATCAATGATTACAAAGTACCTACTAACCGATTTTAAATAAGTTTAAAAGTTGCTTGATATTACATAATACGCAGTGCGCATACCTGTTTTTTTTTGCTTGGACGTTATTATTATTAGATATTAGATTATTAGATAATATTATTGTTTTTAGAGGTAAAAAGTGGGATCCAGTGACTTCCTGGTTTTGTCAAAAAAAAATCATAATTTTTTATTAAAAACCAGTAGCTCTAATGCAAAAATGATAGAGGAAAAACTCTTGTGTTGGCGTGTACTATCATCCCCAAAGGATGACAATTTATTAGGTGACACCCTGTATTGTAAAAAAAACTTTAATTTTCGGATGGGGCTGCTTCACAGTATAAAATTAGTATACCTAATTTAATTAATTTGATATATTACAAAAAAGACTGGGGTCGTCCTTTAATCACCATAGGTTCCAACAGGGGAAGGGGTTAGAATAACATCACGATTAATTACTATGGGGGGGACAATCACGTGTATTTATATTTTCGTGCGACCACGTGAAATCAAGAGCAAACGAAATTTTGTCTAAAAAGTATGTGTCTATCCTTTGGATATCTTTTATTACAAAAATATACGTGATGTTGGGATGGGGTAGTCTAAAACCGACGTAAAAAAGTGGCCCAAAAAACCTCACGTGATTAAAAGACCACCCCTTTGTAATTGAAGCAGGTTGGCATTTTTTGCTATATACCATGGGAAAGGTGCTTATACTGGTATAGCAGGGGCAGTTAAAAGTCATGCCTATTATAAAAGCTTACAAGAAGAAGAATTATATGCATGGGCAAAAACATTTTTTTAAATCAACCAGAAATGGTTGACAATCTACATTAGATTGAGCCAAAAAATCAACTATTTTTTTTTGAAAAGTATATCGAAAATATGGTTTGGGGTGACAAAAAAAAATTATTGTGAAAGTCTTTTTTTGAAAAGTATATCGAAAATATTGTTTGGGGTGACAAAAAAAAATATGGTGAAAGTTTGAGTCCATAATATTAATATTAAGTCTATCATCGCAATTTAATTTTTTTTTCTTCAGCAAGTTTTTGTCTCAGAACTCCAAAACCATTGAGTTTAACAAAATTGACTTAAGAATATTTTTTGAAGAAAATTGGGGAAAAAACAGGAAAAAAAAATCTTAAATTACGATGATAGACCCTAATATTATTAAGATATTAATATTATGGACTCAAACTTTCACCATATTTTTTTTGTCACCCCAAACAATATTTTCGATATACTTTTCAAAAAAAAAAATAGTTGATTTTTTTGGCCCAGTCTAATATAGGTAAATGACATCGCAGAGTGTCCTAGATAATTGGAATGGTTCGCGTCTCAGATGAACGTGTACGCAATATTTTGCCCGAATATTATATGAAAAAACTATCCGCGCGATGGGTGCCGCGTTTGCATACTGTCGACCAAAATGCACATGCGTGACAACTTCAGAGGCATGTTTGACGATGTTTAAGAGTGATAAAAAGGAGTTTTTGCGGACAGTAGAAACAGTGCATGTTTCGGAAATCGATATTTTGAAGGAAAAACGAACACATTTATTTCCAAACTTGAAAAAATGGCTCAGTGGAAAGAGATCTGTAATAGGGAGGTGATCAATGAAACAAACGCCTATTTTGGATGGTTGGAAAAATCTTATTATTTGGAAGGGATCGAAATATTGGAAAAACGTTGGACTAAGTAGACTACGTTGCGAAATAAATCTTGTTTTACCAAAAATATTATTACTTCCTTCATTTTTACCTTTAAAACGCCCTTTATCGTACATTACACATTGACAAGTTGTGGCTTTATGGCGCTTTAGTCACGGGCGGAAGTTAGCAACAGGTTTTTAGTCACGACCAGGGACCCGGACCGAAACCGAAAAAAACCGAAAACCGGAACGGAACCGGTTTTTTTTTCCGAACCGAAACCCGAACCGGAACCGTTTTCGCTTTTGATAAAATCTGTTGGACCGGAACCGAAACCTTTATTTGCTTTCATTCTAATAACATTATATAACATATATATATATGTGAGGTTATAGATTAAAATTACGTAAAACAAATAACCTCACTGGAACCGCTTAAAACCGAAAAGAACCGAACCGTTATAACTCCACGAAACCGAAACCGGAATCGGAACCATTAAAACGAAAATAGGGTGAACCAAAACCGTACCGGAACCGATATTTCATTTCGGTCCGGGTCCCTGGTCACGACCTGAAGTTAGTTTTAAGTTAGTTGACAAATGTCATACAATCGTTAAAATAAATTGCCTTTCTTGGAAAATAATACTTAATGTGAAAATTATTTTATTATCTCAATACAAAAATACAAAACTATTAAATAGTTTCTCAACGCCAATATTTGAAAAATTTATATGAACATTGTACTCACCTTTTAATTTCGCCGGCAGTAAACTATAACTTAAATTCGGGCACGGACTCCACTGTAAAGTGCTCATAAAACATTTTCTTTACTTTTACTGTGAAAAACTGTCAATTTTCAAGAAATACATTTCGATTTATAACCTTTATAATTGTGTTTATAAAATTTGACATTTGATGGTGACACACAGATTCCCCTAATGTTTCATAGATGGCGCTCTATACAAATTTTTGATTTAAATCATTTTAAGATAATAATAAGTATTTGTTGTAGAAAAAGTATAGTATGCACCTCGTTTATAAACTTTTCTATACACTCATTAATTTTAAATTCGTGCATAAAATGGCGTTTATCAAACTTGATACATATATGTATCAAGTTTGATAAGTGTGGTTCGTTAATAGTATATTATAATATACTATTAACGAACCACACTACGTAAAAACAATTATAATTAGGATAACTATTAATAATGGAATGAAAAAAAAAGGAATTATAAGCTCTTGATCAAATAAAATATTGTTTTAAAACTTGGTAGCAATCACCAGGATGCAGGTATACTCACGAATAAACTGTTTAGAGCGGAAATAACGCCTTGATAGATCAAGGCGGGAGCACAATATTATCGTAAGCGACACAATGTTAAATCGCAAACGCCATGTCTCGGAGTTGCTTACGATTATTTGTCGGGAACATATAGGCGCTTACGTTATAAATCGGTAACAAATTAAAAAGAAGAGGCGCTTACAATAATAAAAATATTCAAACTGACCAATATTAGATTCCAAAATTGGGATAACTATTATGTTAACATGTGCAGCTTATCGTAACTGACACTTTGGTAAAATAAAAAGTAATTTAACAAAATTGTCGCTTACGATGTTTTGTCAAATAACCATCGATATGTCTACAAGGGCGGAGTGATAATTCAGGTAAAAATTAATTGTCGTAAGTCTTTAAAAATAAATGCACCATAAATTCCAGATAACATTAATGTTTAATTTAAACAAAAGGGCTTACTTAAAATGGCAAACTGAGTTCGTTAAAATTGACAAAAATTAGTGCTTTTACGTTTTTCGAGTGGAAAAATTTGACATAACAGTAGACGATATTTTCTCAAAAATGAGTCTTCACTTGTTTGATTTTAAAGTATTTCATTGGCTTTTTTAAGCTTTCATGATTTAAATGTTTTGGTAATTTGAAATAAAACTATTTTATAAGAATATTAGCGGTATCCCCGCGGCTTCGCTCGTGTGGTTATAAGAAAAAATAAGGGGTCATTTCAACACTAAATCAATCCACAAACCGCCTAATAAAACAAATAAAAATAAAAAGTTTACAAAGTTTCCAAATTTCATCAAAATCAGTTCAGCCGTTTAGGCGTGAAAGAGGAACAAAGTAGGACAGACTCTCGCATTTATAATATGTATGAATGAATTATTTGTACGGTTTTAATAGTATAGCTTTATTTGAACTTTTATAAACATTTAATATAGGGTGTTCCGAAAATTGCGCACTAAGTTAGTTATGTCATAAGGATAAGAAGTAGTCGTGCTGAGCTTAAAGTTTGTCTGACGCGCTAGCAGATGCCTGATTGGTCTAAATTATTCTTTTAGCCTAGGAGATAATTGAATACTTTGGCAGTGAGCGTTGACAATAATAAATCTTAAATTATAGGACTAGTTTTATAAATAAATAATAACATGCATTTACCTGCAAAGGGCAAATTTGGATTCAGCAGGTAGGGCTGCACAACAACGGAAGCTACATCTAGCGGCGTTTTTCCTTTAGCATTTTTCGCGTGTATATCTGCACCACGTTCCACCAAAAGCTTTACCAGCTTAATGTGGCCGTTTATAACAGCGTCGTGTAAAGGCGTTTCGTTATCTAAACCTTTTGCATTCACGTCTGCCCCAGACTGTACAAGCCTGAATGCTATGTCATACCAACCATGGTTGCAAGCCTCGTGCAATGGGGTCCAACCTTAAAAAATAATATATTTTTTTATACAGTATCAAGTGAAAACTTAAGATTTTAAAGATGCATGCTTGGAGTGCAAATTAAATATTGGACAAGTTAAAAATGGTAAATATTCTTACATGATCACCAAAAGGTAAAAACATGACATTACAACCAATTTTGTAAAATTATTTTAATAATTAATTATTCAAAAAATTAAAATTTTATGTGAAAGCTTACTTTTTGCTGTTAACTTAAAGATAGGGCCAAAGCATATTGCAAAACAATATTTTAATGTGTAAATGTATTAAAAAAAAACAAATATGTATAAACCTAGCGAGTAAAACACCGATTTTTATAAATTAAAAGTCGCACACGAATTAACGCCTGGGAAAAAATCCCAAGGGTAATCATACACATATTGATAAGTATTTTTTATACTCGCGTGCGCAATACTTACCCACACGCATTTGCATGCGCAAAGTTGTACTTTTCCGAAAATATTGTTCCTAACACATGCGCAAAGTAATTTGGTGACTTTAAAGAAGCGTTCTTCATACTACCTGTGAAATTTAATTGTTTGGTCTTGCACTTGACCCCTCAATTGTTGTTTTATACTATTGTATTGTTTACGAATGTAAAACAAACTATCAGAATTTGTGCTTTATGCTTATAAGCATACTACTGTTTTTAAACCTATTAAGTTAATTTAATTTTCTTATAACAAATTTAACTTTCCAATATTTGATTTGACAAAGTCCACAATAATAAATATTTTAACATGCAATAACAAAGTTAAGTAAATTAGTCAGTACTAGTGATCTACAAATAAATGCTTCAAAATTAAACAAGATATAAAAAATAAGTATACTTATAAGTAACATATAACTTATTTTAAGTATTTAATTTAACCCCCAATATAATAGAGAAATTTAATAACATATTGTTAGGTGGTCTAATAGTAAGTTAATTTACTAAAAATCCGTTAGATAATTATAATCAAACAGCCACATGTATAAAAGTATATTATTATACGAGATAATGCAGGGTATTATTCACGATGAGACACTCTCTAGTCGCCAGACGAGGGGCTTAAATCATCCGAGTGAGTAATGCGCATAATCCCGAGTGTAATACTATACTTCATCTACTTCAATAAGTAGATAATTAAATTATTTTTAAAAATAAATAAATAAAATCTGACATCTGGTTAATGGTTAATCTCAATTTTTACCAACTTTAAATGTTATTATGGTCGCCTTCTTCCAATTTAAAATTTCTCTATAGATTGAAGTGACAATTACCAAACCTCAATTTTACTGAAAGTGACAGATACCTAACCTCAAATCTACTTTATTTACTAATACCATAGTTACAACCAAGGTTACATCAAACGATGCGCGCATTTTTTAACGCCTGTAGCTCGGTAGGTCAAAAAATCCGGGATATTGTGTACAAATTTACCTTAATTACAAAAATTTATTCAATAATTCATGTAGGCTCCATGCAATAATCATTGAGTTACGTCAAATTTACAATTTGCATTGCATCACTTTTGTAATAAAGGTAAATTCACACGAAATGTTTAATTTTTTTGTTTGCACCATTACAATTTTGTTAGACTTGCACTTTTATCATTGATGTCATGTCATGGAAAAATATTTAGCTTTAACACAAAAATGTTGCTACCTCCCACAATATTAGTTTAAAAACAATTTTTATGTTCTCATATATTTTTAAATAACAGTACCGATACGTGCTTTAGAACGAATTAGATCGCTCTTAAGTGTACCTAATATTAAAGAAACATAAAAATCGCTCATACAGTGTAGTTTAAGAAAAATACTGTGGGAAATTAGTGCAAAGATTTACTACCTGGACAAGAAAAATCAGTGTACCTGTTGTTAATAGGCATTAAAAATCAACCCTCAACAAGTGAATATAGTGAATAAAGGCCATACATACACGGAAGTTATTGAATAAAGACCATACGGACACGGAACTTATTAAGTGATAAGTGACAGCATACCTGGAGATCTAACCCCAGGCCAATATGAATCACATATTTAAAGAACAAACGAGTCTAACTTTAATCTGCAAAAATCTGATAAGTTTTAAATAATTAATGGCATGACCTAACACGCAAATTCGCCACAAAAACCTTACAAAAATCAATCATTATTACTGAAAACAGCGTAACAGTGTAAATAAAGCAATCATTAGGTAAGAACGTCACAAATCATAAATAAGCATAAACTTAAGAGGCCAGTCCCAACAAAATTAAAAAGTTTAAAACTAAAATAAACAACCAGTTCCGATATTTGCCTAACATAAACATAATAAACCAATAAACACCTCTAAATTTTAGGCATCGAACAAAAGTAATAGGAAGCTAAGAGCAATTATATAGAATAAATAATAAAAATGCAACTTCTAATTGTTAGAACGTAAATACAAATTCCGGATTGTACTTACTTTTGGGTCAGTCCAATGTCACCCAAAAACCAAAATGTTTTCCCTTCTTGTCCCGCACTCCACTAGCCTAAATCGGGCCTATGGCCCAGCGACAAAACTCCGGGAGTGGCCTTAACCATCGACACTGTAATCAACGACCTCCTATGCGAGATTTACCAACCGGGATGAAAATTCGGATCCACCTCAGTGGCGGGATACGTAGAAGAATTGAAAGGGGGTAAACTAACCCTGGGAGATCAGTGTAAAAATTGCCAAGGGGGCCTGCCATACGTTCCTTATACTCATACTCATATATTTTAAAATAATAAAGGTAGAATTTGTTTAACAATCTTCTAGATAGATAGATAGAAAGATATATAATCACGTGACTTATCCTCTTATTGTTACACCGCAGAGCATATAGGTACAGTTTGGCACACGAGAACTTACGCGCGACTAAAGGGAAAAAAGGAAACTTATCTGCATGTGAGAATTGGAGAGCGTTGCAAGCAAAATAATGGCAAAAATAATAATGGATAGAATGAGGGAACCGATTGATAAAAAACTACGAGAAAACCAGGCGATCAAATAGATCGTGCATCGACCACATATGTACACTAAGACTTATCTTAGAAGAAGTAGCAGAAAAAAAAAAGAAATTCTTATAAATTTTATCGACTTTGAAAAGACTTTCGATTCAGTTAAACAAGAAAGGATGTGGGATATTCTGAGGTTATATGGAGTGCCTGAAAAATTATAAAAATATTAAAAATGCTTTATGAAGAGTATATAGCAAGAATAGAACATGAAGGAGATGTCTTTGAGGGAATTAAACTAGAAAAAGGAGTGCGCCAAGGCTGTAGGATGTCACCCTTACTCTTTATAATAACTATGGATTGGGTTATGGAAATAACTGAAGATCGGAAAAGTGGAATAATATAGTTTAGAAGACCTAGAATTCGCCGATGATATCTGTCTCCTGGCAACGAGAAAAAAGCATGTACAAGATAAAACAAAAAGTCTAGAAAAAAACGCACAGATGATAGGTCTAAAAATTAACGCAAAAAAGACGAAACTGCTAACAAACAATGAAGCCGTAGACAGGATAATTATGGACGATAAAGAAATAAAGGAAGTAAAGGAATTTTCTTATCTGGGAAGTATAATTAGTTTGGAAGGCGGAACCGAAAAGGATATAGAAAGACTTTCTCTACCACAGAAATCTTTTAAAAGCCTAAACAAAATATGGGCATCAACAATCCTATCCAGAAAAAAACAAAATTAGAACATTTAGATCAAACATAAAAAGCATTTTATTATATGGTGCAGAAACATGGAAAAATTCAAACCTTTATCAATAAATGTCTAAGAATTATATGCGGTATATTCTAGCCAAACACTATAACAAACGAAGAATTGCACAGAAGTACAGAAGAAGAAAAAGTGGAAAGACCAATTAGAAAAAGTAGATGGAAATGGAATAGAAAAAATAACAAAAGCATAGCAAGACAACCACTCAGCTATAAGATACCAGGAAAAAGAAGAACATGCAGGCCAAATAACACATGGAGAAGAACAATAAATGAAGAACTTCAAAAACAAGGTTTAAAATGGACAGAAGCAAAGAACATGGCAAAGAACAGACAAACGTGGAAGGAACTTATAGAAAGGATGTAATTGCGATGCGTAGGATTAGCTACTCTACCATCACTTTGACCATAGAAAGCCCTAGAAACACCTTTACAGGTGCCCTTTGCTCCAGAAGGAGTTACAGGAAGAAGAAGAAAGGGAGAGGTAGTACGAAAAACATATCGCTATCCTTGTCAGTCTCTAGTCAAGCACAATCATTTCCTGTCTCAGTTATGGGCGTGTCACATTCTTTCGTTCGGTTTTCTATCGATAGCCAAACTTTACCTATAAGCTTTATGTTGTAGTGTTCTAAAACCAATTGGTTTAGCTTATTATTTGACTACATATTAATAATAAATTATTTTATTTTAACCCTTTAATTATATGGTTTATTCAGTTTTGTGATAATTTTTTTTTTCGTTTTTTAGAGTGGATGTTTAAAAAATAATAATTTATATTAGATTTACCACCCCTCAAAACGACATAATTGAAAAATAATAGAAACGATTTTGTAACTAAATTAAAAATGCAAAATAATTACTATTTACAAAAATTTATTCTGTCAAGTTATCCATAAAAAAAATGTTGAAATAAAATTAAACTAATAGTAACATGGTATAAATATGGTATTATGCTTAGTTTTAACAAATAAAAAAAGCAATTGAAACTTAAAACAACAATGTAACAAAAAATAGATAATTCCAAAAATTCTCTACAAATAGATTTTGTCAACTCTACTAATCCCTTTATTTCAATACACTTTCATATTTGTTCTGGAGTAATGGATATGCAGGCTTGTATTACCCTAGGCTGTAGTTCTTGTGCAGTAGAGGTGACAAAAATCTAATTGTAGAGAATTTTTTGAATTCTCTATTTTTTGTTTCATTGTTTTTTTGAGTTTCTATTGCTTTTTTGATTTGTCAAAACTAAGCATAGGAATATTTATTCCATGTTACTGTTTGTTTAATTTTATTTCAATGTTTTGTTTAAGGATAACTTGACAAAATAATTTTTTTTAAATAGTTAATTTTGTTCATTTTTAGTTTGACCACAAAATCGTTCCTACTTAAAAAAATTCAATAAAATTTAGTATAGGGTCGTTTGGAGGGGTGGTGAATCCAGTGACATGCATGGTTTTTTTAAATTGCTAATATGAATTCTCCAAAACTGACATAGTAGGCCTTGTATTTTATAAAAATATGGTGTTTTTCTCCAAAAATACAGTTTATCAAGATCTACACTTAAAAACAAATCCGGTTAAAATCACACAATAAATAAAGATTTTACAGGGGTAAGTGCAAGCAAATGGGTCACACTGTGTGTAGGTAAATTCTTTGACAATTAAGTGCACTGTTGACAGTTGTATATACATATCTAGGTATATACCAACGAAATCGAACGTGCAAGGTAAACTTGGAGTGTAACCAGAGTTCACTCTTGCGAGTTTTTGAATGCCCTTGTGGGGTTCTATGGATCATACACCTTTAGGGTGGAGGGCAACCAATAATATAAAATAGGTAATAATATTGTTATAGGTAGAGTTCTCCTCCTTTTATTTCAATTTTAATTCAAATTCAAAAAAATTCCCCTGTAGGTCCAGCATTTTCTTACAGTAGAAATAGAAACTATCAAGTAATAAATTATAATAATTTTAAGTCAATTTTCAACATACCTAATTTTTATATTTAACACATAAAATAACGTGGCTGACTCTGTTTTGTAACAATAATTACTCTAAAATATTTATTATTTGAAAATGCATATATAATTATCATAAAATAAATACAAAAAATTACCAGCAAAATCAGCTACATTAGGATCGGCATGATGTGCCAGTAACCTACAGACTTGTTCTACATCGCCTTTAATAGCAGCTAAATGCAATGGAGTTTCACCTCTTTCATTACGCTCTCTAGAACGAGAAGAGTTGGTACTGCTGGGACTTCTTGATCCTGCTTCATTTCCAGTAGACGTCATTTGCATTAATAAAGCAAGTTGTTGCCGTTCAGACATTGGTGTCACAGGCAAACCTCTATTTGATGCGCTTCCTCCTCTGGGTCGCACTGATGAGGGCATTTTCTCTCATTAAAATTCTCCCTGTAAGCATTTCAGAGTAAATTTGTGTTTACCTAATCCAAGCAAACTAAAACCAAAATTTGGCATATCTGGAAAAAGCATTTTATACGTTCACTGCGTGGCCTTCCCCTGAAAATATTGTATTGCCCTAACTTCCCCACAACAAAAAAACTAAAAAATATACAGGGACTCAACCTAACCCCATATGAGTTAATGGCGCCAGTTTTATTTTATTATTAAATCATTGCCAACTTCTTATGTAATTGTTCTGAATTTCATGCAAGATATATATATATTTAATTACCTGTGTATATGTTATTTTTAAGTATATTTTAATAAAAGGCATTCAAAACTATTTACATCATTTAAAGTAGATTTATTATATATGGTAGAAATCTCACTTATCGACAACGCAAACTACAGAACATAAGACGCAAACTGCGCAGCAACCATTTTAATTGAAATTTCGCGCCACTTTATTTCAAAAAGTGGTTTTTATTTTTAAAAGTATGTATTTACTTAATTTAAGAGTCCTCATAAATTAAAATGTATAATTTTGATTCCATTTTCTATGCTTTACATTTAAAAATAATAACTTTAAAACTTTTACAATTTCTGTTTTATATTTGTTAAGCCTGGTTCATATAGATGCGACATGCGAATTTGCGAAATGCGAAAATGTTTTCATTGGTCCATTTGATTTGGCGGGAAAAGTGTTTCGACGTTTCGACAGATTCTGCGAATTCGCATTATTTGAAATCTGGGGGGCGGGAATCTTGAGATTGATCCAATATTTTGCGAAAATCGCACGAATTTGGCGTGATGCGCATCCGCATTAATGCAGATGCCTATTATACGTATTTGTTATATGTATTCGCGCCATTTTTGTTTATGTTTATTTCATTTGTATTGCATCGTTGTTGAGTTTTATTTGAAATGTTTCTTGCTAAAGTTGTTTTTTGTTCTTTATAATGGACAAAGAGTTTTTGGAGGTACATTAGTCTCTTATTTTACCTTATAGTAGCATATTTTTTTAGAAGTAACTTTACTATTTAAGTACCTACCTATAGAAAATGTTAACCAAGTATGGCAAATATCACCTGGAGAGAAAATAATGTCCCTAAAATACCATGGCAAATATCGCCTAGTGAGAAAACAATGTCCCTAAAATGGGTCCGACAATTCGCATCTATATGAATAGGAGCTGCGAAATGCGAATATTCGTATTTCGCAAATTCGTAAATTCGCAAATTCGCATCTATATGAACTCGGCTTTATGCAAATAATAATTAATTAATATTTAATAATTTAATTATCTTTTATTAAAAAAGTCTTACGACTTTTTCAATAAAAGATACAATTTTTGAAGTGAAACTTCTTTAGCAAGGTGTAAAGTTTGAAAAATTGAAGCGTTTCTCTGGCATAGGCGGACCGCTTTTAAAGCGATTTCATAGATGCGAACAGAGCTGCAACAAGTCAGTTTTAAAAAGACTTAAATCTTAAGTCTTAAGTCAATTCTAAAATCAAAATGATTTAAATCTTAAGTCAATTCTAAGATAAAGTTCAAATGATTTAAGTATTAAGTCTTTGAATTAAATCATTTTCTTTCAAGTCAAGTATTTTTCGCAAATTCTTAAATCAATATAAAATGATTTAAGTCATCTTATGACTTAATTCCTTTAGTAAGTCGTTTTTATGACTTAAGTCTATATTTTTTATTTAAATCATGATCTAAGAGTTAAGTCAATAAAATGACTTGAATCAAAAATTGTGATTTAAATAAAAATAATTACCCTTAAGTCAATACAACGATTTTTTAAATGTTAATAATAATTTTATGGTATTAATGATACTGATATTATTAATCTATTGTAGATACAGATGATAATAGACCACTATGTTAAGAATTTAAAACGATTTATTTTCAGAACACTTACAAACAAAATAAAAACTTAAACCACCTTCTTTAGTTGAGTAGACATACAGGAGGCTACTTTTTATATACATAAATTAAAAACTTCTAAACGGTAATAGATTCAAACTCTGTTAAAATAGATAAAAGTTAAAGCATTTTTCTTAAAATCTCTATATTTCAAAAAAATGATATCTTGTTGTTTTGTTAACTTTTGTTAGTTGGTTTAACATCCATCTAGAAAAAAAATATTCCTCCCTTTATGGAGTAATGATGGGAGGTTCCAAACTCTCGATTCACGACCGCTCAAGATTTACGACTGCTCACGACCGCTCACGACTAAGTACTCCCGATTTACGATTTTTCACGATTTACGACCACTCACGACTGTAATAATTCAAGACTACTCACGTTCACGCACAATCACGTTTGAATAATTTTATTCACGCACAATCACGTTTTTTGTCGTAATTATTTACTTAAACAAACCGACACACCCTGTATGATATAAACACGTCTTTATAATATTTATTCGTCACCTGTTAATAGTTTGTTTCCACTTTCCACTAATAATTACAAATTAGACCTAACTATGCACGCATAACCCGACGAATGTTGGCAAACAAAATAACAAAATTATAAATCCCCACTTTTTTTCATTTATTTTAAACAGGACTTTTTTAATGTAGCCGTCAAACGGTTCCAAAAAGCTAACTTTACCGGAACTTTACAGGACTTTTTTTATTCACTAGCGGTAGCAATTGTAGGTAGGAAATTAAAGGAGTTTTTGATCTGCTGCCTCGTGAACCCCTGGCAGTTCAAAAGAAAATGCCGCTGTTAAACATTTATAAAAAAATATATGAAAAATCTGACTTAAATATTTTTTAAAAAGACTTAAATCTTTTTCAAAACGACTTAAATCTTTTTAAATAATTTAAATAATTTACCGACTTTTATAAAGACTTAAATCTTTTTTTGACTTAAATCGTTTCTATCTGACTTAAATTGTATGTACTGATTTAAGCCTTTTATTAATGACTTAAGTTTTTTCTATTTTGAAAAAAATACTTAAGTCACAAATCATTTTGAAAATTACTTAAATTTTAAGTCTTAAGTCCGTTTTAAAGAAATGACTTATTACCAAATGACTTAAGTCATTAAAACGATTTAAATCAAAAAAACGATTTAAGTTTTCTGAGAGCTTGCAGCTCTGGATGCGAAATACGAATATTCGAATTTCGCAACTCCTATTTCATAATATAGGTAATATAATATATTATATTAAATATATATTATAGATGCGATCTATTTAAGGGACATTTTTTTCTCACTATAGGTGATATGCGATCTATTTAAGGGACATTTTTTTCTCACTATATATAGGTGATATTTGCCATGGTAGGTATTTTAGGGACTTAATTTTGTCCCCAGGCGATATTTGCCATACTTGGTTAACATTTTCTATTTGTTGTTTTATGTAAATTGAGATTTTGTGTTTTTATTATGGATGAACAATTATACCAGTGGCAATTATACCATTGGCGACGAAGCCGTGCGATTATTTATTCTTAAAAGGAAGACAGAATTAATTAATGCGCATGCGTATCACGACAAATTCGTGCGATTTCAAATCTTGCAAATTTCTTAGGATCTGTCGAAACGTCAAAACGCTTTTCCCGCCAAATTAAATGGACCAATGAAAACATTTTTCGTATTTCGCATCTATATGAAACCTCTTTTATGTTGCCCCGATTAAAGCCGGGTCTACAATTGTCGCAGGGGTCCGATCGCAGAACATAAGCTTGCGCAAAGGACCCCGCGACGTGGCGATGGAGCAAGGTTCTTTTGTCAGTGGAGTGCTTTGCGCAAGCTTATATCATTGAGTAAAGAACATCTTACTCAATGCTTATATTCTGCGACCTGCGACAATTGGAGTGCGTTCGAAATGAGAGTGTACTTTGGAATCCAAAGTCTCAAAGTTTGGATATGGTATAAGGATATATAGGTATATAATCACGTGACTTTACATTATGCGGTATACCGGGTGTATCTGAGAATATATATAGAATAGAATAGAATATAGAATAGAATATTTATTTTATAAATAAAAAGTTACATGAATGTCACACAAAACAAGAAGTTTAAATTTGATACAAATATAAAATTTAATATACGACAATAATAAATATAAATAAATATGTAAAAAATATATAAGACACTAACATTTTGTACAAATAGGTAATTCTAAAAATTCTGTAATTGAATAATAGGCGCACCTCTGTAACTTTTTTATTTATAAAGATGGACACATGAAATTTAGCATGGTTAATTAGGATATGAAATGGCACTTATAAAAGTACAAAATGAATTTTTTGAACTTCCGGTTTCGCTGGAAATGATACCAACATTCGATTTTTATATGGAATGCCCTATATATTTTACATATTTGAAATCCTGAGAAAACTCTGAGTCAGACAGCATCCTCAAATTGACCTTTTGACGTTTCGTCATCAGAAAATGCATCATCATAAAGATCAATCTAGAGTGCTTTGAACTATATTATTTTCTTCTAATGGATTCACACAATGCCTGAAAAATGGAACCTTGCCTTAGAAAGTTGTTATTAAGCTATTCCCAGCAGTCTAAACTTGTCAAAATTCGTTTTTCTCAAATAGTTCAAAGCACTCTAGATTGATCTTTATTATGATGCATTTTCTGATGACGAAACGTCAAAAAGTCAATTTGAGGATGCTGTCTGACTCAGAATTTTCTCAGGATTCCAAAAATGTAACAATATATAGGGCATTCCATTTAAAAATCGAAAGTTGGTATCATTTCCGGCGAAACCGGAAGTTCAAAAAATTAATTTTGTACTCTAATAAGGGGCATTTTATATCCTAATTAATCATGCTAAATTTCATGTGTCTATCTTTATAAATAAAAAAGTTACAGGGGTGCGCTTATTCTCATATACACCCGCGGGTGTACCGCGGTATAAATTATAATTTATACCTGACCTCCTTGTTATTTATACCTCCTTGTTAATTTATACCTGACCTCCTTGTTATTTTCGAACGCCGCGGAGCATATACCTATAAACTTTATGTTGTAGTCAGGGTGGAAAATTCTTCCACCCTGGTTGTAGTGTTCTAAAATCAATTGGTTTTGCTTGTTATTTGACTGAATACATATAAATATTAAATTATTGAATTTCAACCCTTTAGTTATATGGTTTATTCAAGTTTTTGTGATAGATTTTAAAACAATTGTTTTGTTTTTTAGAATTGATATTTTTTAATAATTTATTATAATAAATTCTTTTATTTTAATATTTTTCGTTTTTGTTTTATTGAATTTTAAACCGCAATATTAATGAATTTAGCTAGCCTGCTAATTATGTTTTACACAACACTTCTCCCACGCAGGCTATAGCCGTATACGCGGCTGATGCCATTGGCTGGCCATGTCACGTGATATCGTCTTCAACGCGCGATCTCCATTAACCAAGTCTAAAGCCGGGTCTACAATTGTCGCAGGGGTCCGATCGCAGAACATAAGCTTGCGCAAAGCACCCCGCGACGTAGCAAGGTTATTTTGTCAGCTGGGTGCTTTGCGCAAGCTTATGTTCTGCGACAATTGTAGACCCGGCTTTAAGCCGGGTCTACAGGAGCGCGATCGAAAACTCGCAAGAGTGCACTCTGGAATCCAGAGTCTGGATACCCTATTGTAAATGACCAATAGAAACCAATAAAAAATAAGTAATTGGTTTGAATTGGTTTTAAATGGTTTGAAATGTGTTTTGGCGCTATGAATCACCAATTCATTCCAGTTGAATTCCTATTGGTAATTTCCAATGAAGTCAGCGGCTTGAATTGGGAAATACCAATAGAATCCAATAAAAAATAAGCAATTGGTTTGAATTGGTTTGAATTGGTTTGAAATGTTTTTTGGCGCTATGAATCACCAATCCATTCCAGTTGAATTCCTATTGGTAATTTCCAATGAAGTCAGCGGCTTGAATTGGAAAATACCAATCCATGCCTGCGACAATTGTAGACCCGGCTTTAGGTCCTAACCGCGGTAAGTAGCCATGGCTACTTAAGTTAAACGGAATTTCGTGACAAATTCAATGGTGCAAAATTAAGGTGTTTTTTAAAATGTCAATTTTGGGCAAAGTGAGAACTAGTTCAAAACACTAAAATCTAATATTTTTAATAAGTATTAGATTTCTGTAGTATTGGTTAATCGTTTGTTTAAAAAATAAACAAAACAGTTTTTGCCAACCATGCAAGCTACTATAGTAATAGTAATAATAAATGAACATTATTGCAAAAAAAAGTTAATACAATTTCTTACAAATGGCCATTGACCGAGGTCCTTCAGCCGGTCTACTATAGTATTTTTGAGAAAAACCGAGAAAAACGTTAAATACGGTTTACCTCGAAAAATACTTGAAAAATAGGAAAGAGCTTTAAAAATTTCTAAAGGAATAAATAATAAAAATTGATTATTTTAAATTTAATTGTGGTGTTATTATTTATTACCAAAAGTGTATAATGAAAATATCACTGTTTTATACAGAGTAAACAACAACAAAAAAAAGTTGCAAAAAGCTGCATACAAGTGGTATATTTCTTTATAATTAGGAAAGCACTTTAATACTTTACAAATATATTCTAAAGTTCATCATGTCCTGTAGTGTTTTTAATTTTGTCTGGAGGAAAAGCCCAAAAAGTAGAAGGAAATCCTTTTTGATCTCTTTCCCTTTTAACAAAGGCACTAAATGAAGATATGCAATTTCCTATAAAATGATTAGATCTGCCCAATATGGCCAAATCAATATGAGGTGTGCTATTTTTATTTGTTAATACTTTTACACCCATCCTTCTTAAACCATCCCTTAACTCAATCAGCAGGTGGTTGCTATCAGATGCCACAAATATAGATTTAATAGTTCTATCATTGTTATTATTAACAGAATTGTTAATAGATTTAATAACGCGTTTTATTTGTCTAATAATTATTTCCTTTGAAGGCAAGCACATATCAGTGGTTGCCTTTCCTCGTTCATTTCTATAGCCTACACATTGAGCAGCAGAAAATAAATTTGGGCTCTCTGGTATGTGCTCACAAGCTCTGACCCAATCCATACCATTTCGTAAGTGGATACCAATAAAAGCTCCTTTGGGCAAATGAGTTTTTATAAATTTATCAGTCTCATTCTCAATATGTTCAGACCACTGCAGGTATTTATGTAAATTCTTGTTTTCTGCTTGTACTGGAAAACTTGCTGGAGCACCTAAAATAAAATGAATATAGCTTCAACATAATTTAAAAATAAATCATAGTTTCCCAAAAAATTTTACTGTAGCTAAATTTTTGAAAAAATCAGCCAAAATTTTAAATAATATATACCATGTTTCTAAAAAAAAGTTGTACATTTTGAAATCATTACTTGTTTAGGGGGATGTGGTTTACCATTTGTAATGGGGTCTAGATTGTGCAATAAATAAAAAAATTACTTGTAAAAAAACTGTATTATTAAATAACCCCCTACACATAAAAAAATTCCTATGTAATGTTTGCAAAAGTTTTCAAATAAGCACAATTAATGAGTGATGATGGTATGATATTAGTGTGCCATTATTGGGATTATTGTTTATTTAAAATTTTGTTAGAAATTAAGAAAAACCCTAAAAATGGACCTGTTTCTAGTAGTGATATAAAAAGTTAAAGTTTTAAAATTAAGTATTAAATTAATAGGGATGCACCAGATCGGGTATTTTGCCGATCCGGCCGGAACCGGAATTTCGGCCACTGGCCGGACCGGATCGCCGGAATTCCGGCCGGATCGGGACCTAAATTTAAAATGTATGTGCATGCCTATTTTTATACGTAAAACATTGAAAATATTGAAGCTGATTTATTTTTTTTAAACTAGCTACAGTATGCAGAGTGTTTATTACTATTAATTTTACCTAGATAGAAATTACTGTTTATTTACGAAGTGTATATGTACAGAGGCGCCTCTGTAGATAAAGTTACGGTTATGTACAGAGGCGCCTCTGTTGGTAAAGTTACGGTTATGTACAGAGGCGTCCCTGTAAAAAATATCAATATACAGAGACGCGTTGACTTGTATTAAGTATACTATAGTGTTATATGGTTTAAATTCATTTTATTTTCAAACATTAGGTACCATATATTTGAAATGCTAGGGTCTAGAGGCACCGAATTATCTTGGCTCCCTGGCTCCTAGACATGCGCGTTTTATAGAAATGTACTCAAACTCAACAACACAACCCAACCGACCCCGCCCCATTGGGCCCCCCCCGCCCCATTGAGTAAAAAACCCAACTAAAATGGGCTAATTTATGTAATTAAAAAGTGTTTTATTTTTATCGTAACATAAATTTGCCCATTTTAGTTGGGTTTTTTGCTCAATGGGGCGGGGGGGGCCCAATGGGGCGGGGTCGGTTGGGTGGTGTTGTTGAGTTTGAGTACATTTCTATAAAACGCGCATCTCTAGGAGCCAGGGAGCCAAGATAATTCGGTGCCTCTAGACGCTAGTTAATCTGCCTCTGTACATAACCGTAACTTTATCTACAGAGGCGCCTCTGTACGTATACACTTCGTTTATTTAAATATTAATTTTTAATTAGCGTTTTGTAATTTTTGGAAAGAAAATATATGTTGTTAAAAAAAAAATTATTTGTGATTAATTAACGACTTAACAATAGGTAAGTAGGCACCAATTAAAAAAAACCTTAAAATAATTTTCTTTATTTTTGCATATATTTGAATTTAAATTAAATTAAAAATTTAAAACTTAAACATTTCCAAAAAGTTCCGAAAATTCCGGCCGGAAAGCGATCCGATCCGGCCAACTGGCCGGATCGGCCGGATTTACTGGTACCCGCCGGAATTCCGGTGCATCCCTAGTATTAATTAAGATTAAATCAAGTTTAAATACCTGTAAATGCCATTACAGGCCACTCTTGAGGTGGATATCTGTTTTTCCACTGCTTTGCCATATGCTCATTGTGTACATCATAATGTAAGGGACTATAAAACTCAGAGTTACTAAAATCCACATTAAATGTATCCCAAAAAGGACCAAAAGGATTACCATTTTTAGCATTGCAGGAATTGTTTGTGCCTATAATATAAAAAATTTGGTTAATTTTCATCATATAAAACAAAATTGTTGGCTTACCTCTTTTCATATAGCAAAATGATGTTCGGTTACCTGCAGGCCATTCATAAGGAGCCACATCTTTCATAAACTCCTCCATTGTTATAACCTTATGATATTCTCTTAATGGCTGAACTTTAAAATACTTATCAAAAGGCACTTGTATAGACTTTGGTTCGCCATATCGATATTCTACCCAAGGGGGTAACACAAGAGTTTTATTTAAACCTTGTGCAAATCCAAGTGCACCCAAAAAATGATCTGCTTGGTTACCAAATCTTCCTAAAATATATTAAATGTAAAATTAATTTCAAATTGCTGTTATAAATACCCATGCAAGGACAATACAATATGTATCCCAAAGGATCAAAATCAACTGTTGAACACAATTTTATAAAGAAAAAGATTAATAAACTGAAATAGACTAGCATATTTTATACTACAAAAATATAGTTTAATTCATGCAGTTCAATATTATGAACTTATAATTAGTATAAATGACTTGTTTAAAAATTATCTAAGGTTAGAATTTTGATGTTTAAAAAATACCCGACTACCAACAAACACAGATTATAAAGGTTACCAACAAAAATTAAGAAGTACCAATTTCCCTAACAGCGTTGCCAACTTAGCGACTTTGTCGCTAGATCTAGCGTTTTAAGGTAGCCATTTGAGACATTTTTTTATGATTTGCGACGTGTCTCAAACCTAGCGTTTTTCACATTGTGTTGGCGACATTTTTGGAGACATTTTAACATTGATAATGAAATTTGTTTTTAAACAAAACAACAAAATAATTTCTGGTTTAAAAAATTTTAAATTAAAATTTGTTACGTTGGCATGGCCAACTTGGCAACGACGCATCCGTACGTCATCCGTCAAATGTCAAAAACTGAAAAAATAGCCGGGCAATTGTCAAATCCCATTATTTATTTATTCTTTTATAATCTGTGTTATGAAAAATCCTAAGGGATTTTGGCACTTTGCAGGCTTATATTAATGACAATGCAAAATCGACTGAATTTCTTGAAAATTTCGAGGAAAATTTATTAATAAACTAATTTTTTTTAATTTTTGTATTTAGGGTGAAGTGGGGTAAGTGCGCTTTTGGGGTAAGTGCACCAATTGGGTTTTAAAAGAAAACAGTTGAGAATAAAAACTATCAGTTTGTAATTATGGATTTTTTTTGCCAGATAATTTCCCTAAATATTCGAGTTAAATGTAATAACTTTATAACCGATAAGTCATTTTACCAGAGACTGTCTCTGATTTTACTTGCGGTAAATTGCAAAAAATTTACAAAACTGTGAGTTTGTTGCACTTGCCCCGTGAATACGTTCCTACTTATAATATGGGATATAACCGGTGGTGGTGCACTCGCCCCAAATATGTATATATTTTTACAAAAAAAATAGCTGTGGTGTCGTATTACCTTTAACGCAGAGTTTAGATCTGCCATGAGATACACCACTAAGGGAATTGTATACATGCCAAAGACTGGACTCTTACCATTGTTCTAAAGAATTATATTAACTATTCAATTTTTGTTTTGCACTTGGGTGGGTGCATTTACCCCACTTCACCCTACCTTAAGAATTATTTATTTTTATATATTTTATTTATTTTTCTTATTTTAGAATGACTTGATTTTTTAATGATTTATGTTATGTTATTTAAATAAAATATTTGTTAACAATTATAATTATTAATTATTTTTGTGTAATGATAAGATAATGCCATTTTCTAGTGTCCTTTACTACAACCACGTTAAAATTCTTTCTTTATGAAAAATCAATTCTGTTTAAAATTTTGCAACCACTTTAAACTTTTTTTCTCTTTTTTTTTTAAATTTGCAACATCTGGCGATTTGTAAGTGCCAAATAATTTAGCGATTTCTGGCGACTTTTGAAGAGCTTGGTTGAGACTTTTCACAATAGACTGTTGGCAACACGTGTACTGTTCCCTAATGTTCTGTGCAATTTCCCAAGGGTTTAAAGAAATTTAAAAAAACTACTTCTATTATTAATAAAATTCATTATCATTCAATTGAAATTTAAATTAAGGCTGAGAATCGATTACGAATAATTCGAATATTCGAGTATTCGAATAGAGGTGGAAATCGATTATAAATTATTTGAATAGGTAGGTACTCGAATATTTAAATAGGTAGGTACTCAAATATAAAAATAATTTTTATTAAAAAAAATTAAGAGCTCTCATAAAAAATTAGGTGACTTTCGAATTTTGAAAATTATAAAAATAACAGAGATATAATATATTATATAATTAATAAAAACGCCAAATTGACAATTTGCATTGTTAATTTTGTCATTTTTGTAATTAAGCTAAATTTAAACAATGTTTGTCAACTTTTTTGAGAGATTTTGGAAACACTGTTGTTACCAACCATAACATAATAAATCCACCAGATTAACCTAAAGTTCCTAGTCGATCAGTGGCGTACTTTTTGGTAGGATAAAGGTTAATAAATTAATTTTAGACTTTGGAATTTAGAAAAAAAAAGTTTCAGGTGCTTCTTTATGGACCCTAAGGAACAACCCATTTTAATATATATTAAAATGGGTTGTTCCTTAGGGTCCATAAAGAAGCACCTGAAACTTTTTTTTTCTAAATTCCAAAGTCTAAAAATAATTTATTAACCTTTATATATATAACATTAATTACATAACACCCTAGGGTACAGCTGTACATCTCTGAAAAATAATCAAATTCAAATTTAAAATAATAATTTTTTCGCCACAGTAAATTTTTGTACACAAAAAGTTTTTCCAAGTTTTAGCTTAAAAAATTAATTTTTTAAGGTCGCTCAGAAATTTTAAAAAATCGATATATAGTAAATTTAAAAGGAAACGACGTACACGCAGAGATATATCTCTGCGTACACGTCATCAATCAGCTGATCGGGCGCGGTTGTCAATATGATGCTAAAATCCAAAAAACTTTTTTGGCTAAAAATCGTTAAGTGAAGAAATTCTATCGAAATCGAACTATAGTTCGATTTTATCCTTCATGAAGGATAAAATCGAACTAGAATTGCAACGGCTGTACATTGCTCCATGAAAAAGTCTGAAAATAGTTGACTTTGACCCAGGAAGGATAAAATGCATTTTATCCTTCCTGGGTCAAAGTCAACTATTTTCAGAACCCCATGGGGTTCCCGGTATAGACATATACCGGTATTTCTCGACAATATCGCAAGCTTTGACCTTTCGCTGCAGCGAGGTATTTTGTGCAATCGATTTAGTGGATGTTTTAAGATTTGAAATTCCACGTGTATCTACTGCAGTAGATATAGTGGTATTAATATCTCATGGCGGGTGACCTTGAGAGACGCTGACAGACGCCATTCAATTTAATAAATAAATGGAAACTAAAAACATCCGCCACTTTCATAGACCTTTAAGTTAACTTAAATGTCTATGGATGCTTCCCAAATCTGGCATCTGTCAACTAATATAGTAAAGCGTTTTTTTCTTTATTTTATGAAATATATTGTAACATTAGAGAATGACTGCAATTGAAGACCCTGCTGCAAAAAGAAGGTAACTCCATAAAAGTTATTTTTGAGTCATCTTTGCATTAAACAATGCAGAATAGTCTAGTTCACAGTTGTAAGGGTGTAAAAGTCACTTTTGTAAAAGTTACCCCCCTTTTGCAGCAAGTTCTTCAATTGTTGAGCAATGATCTGTAAAATATATAATGGATTTCAGTAAAAAAATGTACCTAAAGGTTTTTATTTCATATTTTTCTTGTGTATGGCAAAATATGTTGATTTACTGCTAATACAAGTATATATCATATTATGATATATGATATAATGATCAATCTCCAAAATCGAGGATTGCAGATTAATTGTTCAAATCCAGTTTTTAGGAGTGGATAGGTACATAGCTGTTAGAAGTCATCGTCATCCTCATCTTTGTTATCTATGATCCTCATTTGATGAAAAATAATTACATTCAGACTCATTATTAACCCTTATAATAAATTCATGAACGTCGTCGGAAAAATGTTCTCTTGAAATGTACTCCTCCTCAGATTTTGCCACATGCGCACATACTTTCTCCCATTCCTCTTCTGATTCATGTCGTCGTGATAATCACCTGTTTTTCGACCAGATTTAAATATCAAATCAGCGTTTGGCACAAAACCTTTTTTTCCACCGCAGTGTTTATAACAAATATGATATGACAAATATGATAAAACAAATATAATAGAATTTCTAGCCTATAAATATGTTTAAATATGTCAATAAATATCAGCTGATGCTAGCATTGCCAACCCTGGGGTAGTATGTTTTTAGGACGGCGAGTAATAGCGCGATTTGACGGATTTGTGACGTTTGCGCGCCCAAGGTCACCCGCCATGAGATATTAATACCACTATACACGTGGAATTTCCATGGTGACTGGTTAAAAGAGCCACATCGGCTCAGACCAAATCCATTACTGAGGGAGAGGCTTATGGTACTCCGGACGTAGTGGATAAAAAATATATATATAGAGAGAGAGAAGAAATTCTTTAGTCAATGGTTTCTACAGTAAACATTCTACCAGAATCTAGAAACTTTTTAGATTGCTTCATCCCTAACGAGTGATTTTGTCGCGTTTTTAAACAGTGTTGTTAAAACATGCAGTTCTCCAATAAAAAACCAAACTACTTTGCAAACTAGACAATCTCTTACCATAATTATTTGAATACCTTTTCCTGCTTCCTTACCAAAGTTGAATAACGTTAAAGTACTTTTCGAATATCCCGCTTCGAAGAGGTGGTGGAAGAAGTTATTGATATAGGTACTGTTATCAGTAATTCACTCGAAATTACTGATAGTTATTAGTAGAAATTTTTAGTTGTAGTTCCCATCCCTACCCCGTACTTGTCCAGAATCTCCCCGTATGCAGCGTTGCCGTTGCCGGGTATTTTACCCAAAATTCGGGTATTTTGGAGTATGTGCCGGGTAAAATAATTAAACGGGTAAAACCGGGGATTTTAACCCTTTGACCCAAATTTGAAAAAATAAAAATTGTAGAACCAACAGCAAAAAATAAAACTTTAAAATTAAAATTCAACCATTCGACCATGGAGCCTACACAAGGAGCCCGAACTTAATAGGGAAAATTGACAAAACCTGTCCACTAAATTGCACAATTTAAGTCTTTTTTTTCCACCACCAGCGGCGCTGTTTGTCAATGCGTCCGTATGACGTGAAAATAGTATCAAAAATACATGTGAAGTAAGCAAGTAATTTTGACAATTGATTTGCAATAATGTTTTGACGTACGAATCGTTTTGTTATTTATGGCTGTACCTGGTAGGTAGATTCTAATAAATAGGTTTTGGTTGTGAAATATAAGTGATTCTTTATAATCTGTGAAGTGATTTTACGACTCTGGAGAAGCAAAATAAATAGGTTTTGGTTGTGAAATATAACCTATTTATTAGAATTATATATAAGTGATTCTTTATAATCTGTGAAGTGATTTTACGACTCTGGAGAGGCAAAATTAGATTTCCAGGTTAGAAATACACCGCTATTTAATAATT